ATATCCGGTGGTTGAAGGATGAGCTGAGCAGGATGTATAAGCTGCAGGTGGAAGGTCCTTTCCCGGATGGTGCGCGTGGAAATGGAGAAGAGATCAGCTATCTCAAGAAGAAATATATTTTCACAGAACGTGGGATTGCAGTGCAGAGTAACAGCAAGCACACCAACGTGCTGGAGGAGCTGTACAAATTGCATGGGAGAAAGGTGAAGATGGTTCCTGAACATGGTGAATTGGGAACGCCGGACAAAACACCAGAGCTTGAAGGAGAAGCGAAGAAGAGATTTCGGAGTGGCTTGGGTACAGCAATGTACATGGCGCAAGAGAGAGCGGACATACAATTTGCGACGAAGTCTTTGGCGTCGCACATGGCCAAGCCCACGAAGAAAGCAGAGGTTTGTTTGCAGCACTTGATTCTGTACTTGATGGGTACAAGAGATTTGGGTGTATTGATGGAGTATGTGGAGCCGGGGTACAGTTTGATGAAGAAGCTTCACATGCAGGTGCAACAGGCGGGTGAACAATTGATTGAAGTGTTCTGTGATTCAGACTGGGGTGGAAATCGTGCGACGGGGCAGTCAACGACCTCAGTGATGGTGTTTATCAACAGCATTTTGTGCTTTTCGTATTCGAGGGGCCAGAAGTCGATAGCCCTTTCTAGCTGTGAGGCAGAGGTGCTTGCAGCAACATCAGCAGGAAGTGAGGCATTATTGATCAAGACACTGTGGGAATTTATTTGCAACCGCGTGGCAATGTTGGAATTAAGGTCAGACAGCAGCAGTGGACGGCAATGGTTGCAGAGATCAGGGGTTGGAAGGATGAAACATTTTCAGATTCGCTTGTGCTGGATTCAGGCGGCAATCAGAAATGGCGAGTTTGGTATTTTTCCTATAGGGACGCAGCTGAATGTGGCAGATTTGAACACAAAGCGGCTAACAGCAAAGCGGAGAAAGTTCCTGATGTATTTCATTGGAATGGTTCACTTGAACAAATCAGGTGAGGCGATATGCGTGGGAGAAGAGGAAAAAGATGCATATGTATTGGAGAAGATGATGAAAGAGCATGTGAATCGTGCAGTGTGTGAATTTGGTTCCAATGTCAGTAGGAAGAAATGTTTGCAGGCGCTATTGATTGCGCAAATGTTCGGTGGAGGACGTGGAGCTGACCACGCGAATGTGGTAATAGAGAACGAGCAACATGTATGGTGGTGGACTGGATTTTACACATGTTTGTGCATGTCAGTTTTTGCGGTAGCTATATTTAGCATTTGCATTTTCTCCTGGATGGGAAGGAGAATGTGGCTCCATCTGGAGGAGCGGTTGGAGAGAATGGTGCATGAGATGCTGGAAAATGAGAGAGCGATTGGAGAAATGAGGAGAGATGTCCTTGCGTTGCAGAGGAGAAGGGAGGACATGCCAGAGGAAGAAGGAAACGAAGAAGATTGGAGGGAACTGCATTACTGGTCGAGACCAGTAATTGATGGCATTCATGAAGAAGATGGACCAGTTTTCTCCAATGAGAGTGGAATGGAGCCGGAGCCTCATCCAGAGGCACCGGAGATAGAATGGCCTGAGGAGGAAAGTTTTTCACAGTTTGTGATGAGGCAAGTCGAGGAGCAGACAGATCCCGATGCGGCTATGGGTGCATTGAGGAGAAGGACTGAGCGTGAATTGCAGAGGAGAAGAACCAACGAGCTCAGACCAACAGAGCGATGGATCAGGCAAGATTGAGGATGAACACTCATTTTGAGTGATGTACAGAAGGATGAACTACGCCTAAAACGGCAAAGTTCAAGCCGGGGTGTTAAGTTTTACTAAGACTCACATCACCCTTTTTGGCTTGAGGTGACAGTTTGGTTGTCACAGGAGTTTCATTGATTGGCATGTACAGTTTTGGTTGCCATGAAGGAGTCGATGAATCGGCCGGATAGCGCAAAGTGTGGCTCAAAAGGAGTTGCGCTCGAACGTCGTTTGTTTGGGTTCGGTTTTGTTATTTTTACTATTTTGCATGTTTTTTGTATGATTTGGGACTGCGCCCCTCTTGCACCCCTCTTGCACCCCTTTTGCACCCCTCTTGCACCCCTTTTGCACCCCCTCTTTTTGCTCGTTTTTGCATGTTTTTTTGCTTGATTTGGGATCCCCGCCCAAAAAAAAAAAACCGGGTTGGGCGGAATAGTATCAAGCCCAGACCCCACCTGTTGGGCGGCCCAATGTCAAGCCAAATCCCAACCCCCCCACCCCACCCCCAGTATCACAAAAAAAACAGGTGACATGGCTTCACCAGCATACTTCCAGGCCACATCACCTGTCGCACCCTCAGCATCATCTGCAGTCTGCAAAAAAAACACAAGAAACTTGTTGGGCGGACTGACCAACATCAAAAAAACAGAGTCGGAACCCTTTCACTCTCTCCTCGCACACTCTCCCTCCCTTTTTTTTTTTTTCTCCAAACCACCTCACTCTCCAGCTCTCGCAGCAGGAAACCGCCGGCCTCCACATAAGCCGTATGATTTGCATGGCCTGCCGGGAGCGTAGGGCTACAAAAAAAACAAGAGTAAGCCTCCGACACGCCAGCGGGTTGGGCGAGCCAGTAGCAAACGGGTCGACGGGCCTCCACATCGGGCGTATGATTTGCATGGCCTGTCAGGAGCGTAGCAAGGTCATGGACTGTCACATGAAAAAAAAAGGAACAAGAGTAAGCCTCCGACATGCCAGCGGGTTGGGCGAGCCAGTTGCAAAAAAAAAGAGACTCCGGCATGAAGAACGCGGGCCTCCACATCGGGCGTATGATCTGCATGGCCTGTCAGGAGCGTAGCAAGGTCATGGACTGTCACAGGAAAAAAAACAAGAGTAAGCCTCCGACATGCCAGCGGGTTGGGCAAGCCACCTGACTCTCCAGCTCTCTCAAAACAAAAAAACTCCAGCAGGAAGACCGCGGCCACATAGGGCGTGTGATTTTGCATGACCTGCCGAGAGCGTAGCAAGGTCATGGACTGCCAAAGAAAAAAAAGCACAAGAGTCAGCCTACGGCGTGCCAACGGGGGTTGAAAAAAAGCCACCTGACTCTCCAGCTCTCTCAAAAAAAGACCCCAGCAAGAATGCGGGCCTCCACATCGGGCGCATGATCTGCATGGCCTGTCAGGAGCGTAGCAAGGTCATGGACTGTCACAGGAAAAAAGGGCACAAGAGTCAGCCTCCGGTGCGCCAACGGTTTGGGCGAGCCAGCAAACGTGTTGAAAGCCGCCTGACTCTCCAGCTCTCTCAAAAAAAACAAGACTCCAGCAGGAAGACCGCGGGCCTCCACATAGGGCGTGTGATTTTGCATGGCCTGCCGAGAGCGTAGCAAGGTCACAAAAGAAAAAAAGCACAAGAGTCAGCCTCCGGCGTGCCAACGGGGGTTGAAAAAAAAAGCCACCTGACTCTCCAGCTCTCTCAACAAAAGACCCCAGCAAGAATCGGGCGCATGATCTGCATGGCCTGTCAGGAGCGTAGCAAGGTCATGGACTGTCACAGGAAAAAAAAGGCACAAGAGTCAGCCTCCGGTGCGCCAACGGTTTGGGCGAGCCAGCAACCGTGTTGAAAACCGCCTGACTCTCCAGCTCTCTCAAAAAAAAACGAACACGGGCCTCCATGTCGGGCGTACGATCTACATGCCCTGTCGGGAGCGTAGCAAGGTCATGCACAGTCAAAGAAAAAAAAAGGCACAAGAGTCAGCCTCCGGCGTGCCAACTCAACATGTTCAAACAAAATAGCTGCGGCGATCACACACAAAGGTCACAACTCCAAGTCTGTCAATGGCACGCAAGTCTGTTTGGCAAACAAAAACAAATCTCAGCACGTCTTTGTCATCGTTCCACCTGTTCGAGATGCGCTGTGCGGCGCGAGGGGGGATGTTGGCCCAGCTGTACAGTGGCACAAGATGCCCAGTTCTCAGGAACGTTGGCCTAAAACGGTGGCTCGTTTGCCACATTGAGGAAAGTCTCCTCGTTCCCCTTTGCCAAATACACCCGCTTACCTCTGACTGTCTTCGGGACCAGCACCTCCTGCAGCAGTCTGTCAAGTTGCTTGCCGGACAGCTTGAGCCCCTTCACCACATCGTGGTCGCGGAAGAACTTCCGAACATCGCCCTGCGAGCTGGCCAGGGCAGCGTTGGGGCTGAGCGGTATGGAGTCGAGGACCTCCCTGATATCCTGGAGCTGCAAGGACTCAAACAGGTGGGCGGTGCATGCCGACTGCGTTCTTGGCTCCACCAGCGTGCTGACACTGTCTCTCAAGAACATCAGATCCACTTCCTTCAGGATGATCTCCATGGACGGGATCACATTCGCCAGCAGAAAGTCTCGCTGCTTCAGATTGTTCCGAAGCTGTCTCTCGTTGCTGTTGGGCGCCGGCCTGGCCACAAACTTGAAAGGCCACGGAATGGCCGTGAAGCTGCGCCTCATACCACCGTCAATCGCACGAAATTCAAAAGAGGCGTTGCTGGAGAAGTTCATCATGAATTGTGGTCGGAAGCGCACCGGATCCTTGTACAGCCCTCTTGCTTCCACGAAGGACGATTGATCTCGGAGATCTTTCAACATCCCACTCCTCATCTTCACTCCAGCTTCCACTTCGCTGACCGACATCGATCGACGGTTTCGTAGCTGAAGTAGCGGTATGGAGGTGCCTGAAGGGTCTGAGAACGCTGGCGCACGGCACTGCCTTGAACACTTCCTTCACCATGTAGCCCAAGGCCAGTCGGTGGTACGGCACGACGTCGGCCAAGAGCTTCGGGAAGTTCTTCTGCCCACGCAAACATCTTCTGCGGATCTCCATACATTTCTCCTGCAAAGTCACCCGTCAGAAAAAAATGTGTCAAAACAAAAAAACGCATATGTGTGTGCACGTGTCCTGCTGGAGCTCCCAATGCTCGTCAACCTCATCCCATGACAGAGAAGGGAACCGCTGCCGAAGTGCCTCCACTGCCGTTTCAACACTCCATGGTCCAGTGCCCTTGACAGGCACGATGGCGTTGGCCCTTGCAAGGAGCTCAGAATGCTGGGAGTGCATGGCAAGGCAGTAGATGCCGTCGTGCTCGTAGCTGTTCACCAGCCCGAAGGTAGACGAGAGCTCGGCCAAGAGGTCCGTGTTCTTCCGCTCGTACTCCTCGTTCAGCACGCTCTGCAGAGTGCCAGGGGACAGCTGTCGCGCCAGCTCCGGGTGGTTCGCTACGTCTTTGCCCAACAGCATCCACTGCTCGGCTTGGAACTCCAGCGAACTTCGGCATGTCCTGGAGCGTCTTGTTCGCTTTGTGAACGCGGCGGATCAACGGCTCCCCGCCGGTATTCATCAGCCCTCGGAACAGCTCCTTGGCAAGGTCGCGGTCGTCCAAGAAGGCCTCGCATTCGGTTCTGTTCTCGATGTAGCGGCGAAGCTTCGGGGTGTCCTCGTCTGCTTCGCTGTGCGTAGCAGTGGCACATCGACTGGTCGACGTCCAGCCCCTCTGGCGCACGGAGCGCGTTCCTGACCTCCCTCGGAAGGGTGAAGAGGCCTCTTAGCAGCTCGCGCCGACCCGCTCCATGATGTCCTCCACATCTTTTTGCAGCTCCTTCGGCAGCTGGCCCACATCAGATACTCCGCTGTACCTCCGCCCCTTCCTTCCGACCCTTGCGCAGGGCGGTCCGTCACGCCACACAACAGGCATCTCATTGGAGCTATCAAGACGTTTCAAAACAATGAAGAGCTCTCGCCGCAGGTGTGCGGGTTGTCTGGCAAACGCAGCTCATCGGTTGCCCGCAACCTGCAAAGCTGCCGCAACGCCTCCACATTCACGGCCTCGCGAATCACCAGTGGGGCGGACTCAGTAGATGGCGGTGACCTGCAAAGGGCCACGAAGGTGTGAGCGGAACACATGGAAAAAAAAGTGCCTGGAACTCTTGTGCTTCTTCCTCACCGGGCTCATGCCAGATGTCATCCTAAGATCCATACAAGTCCATACAACTGCAAGCACAATCTTCACTCGAACTTGGATTCTGGCCAATCAAAGGGGGCCGACCAAATGGGGGGCCGAGCAGGTTTCCTCGCCAAAATAGCTTCCGCGGCATGGACAATCGTGAACAAGCACTCCCAGGTCATGCAAAAAAAAACATGCAAAATTGATCAAAAAGAGGGGGGTGCAAGAGGGGTGCAAGAGGGGTGCAAGAGGGGTGCAAGAGGGGTGCAATCTCAAATCATACAAAAAACATGCAAAATCGAGCCAAAAAAAGGGAGTGTGGACAGTCGTCAACACGCGCTCAAAAAAAAATGCAAAATTGTTCAGCAGAAGGGGTGCAAGAAGGGTGCAAGAGGGGTGCAAGAGGAGTGCAAAAGGGGCGCAATCTCAAATCATACAAAAAACATGCAAAATCGGGCAAAAAAAGGGAGGGAGTGTGGACAGTTGTCAACAAGCACTCCCAGATCATGTAAAAAAATGCAAAATTGATCAAAAAGAGGGGGGTGCAGAAGGGGTGCAAGAGGGGGCACCTCATCACTGCACGCGCGTCCGTAGGCAGCGGACAGGCCCACCCCAGGGCCACCCAAACACTACTCTCTTAGGGTTTAGGGTTTGCCCTCAGACGCCGGGCAGGCTCTTGAAAAAAAGCGAGCTTTTTTTTGTCACCCGCACGCCTTGAGGCAATTGCCATCGGTCGCGAAAAACCTGCTAAAATACACAAAGGGGGAGAGGTGAAACATATGGTGAGACGTCACTTGAAAAAGCTGGCGAAAACACAACAGGCCACAGAGGAGCCAAAACAAACAGACAGAGCCGAACCAGAAAGCCAAGAACCACAGCGCACAAACAAACCGAGAGCAGAAAGTGATTTCGCCAGCACGCGGAAGTGCATGTTGAAATACATTACGAGCGAAAAGGAAGACACCAAATGCACTGGCTACGCGCGGAGAAAATCATGAGGCTGAGCGGGGCACAGACCACATGGTCCACTCGCGGAGCGCGCTACACTCTGCCGGGGGCACATTTGCGCATCGTTAACCCCCGTACATAGCCATGCAAGTGTGCTTACTTTTCCAAAGGAATTTGCACAACCACTTGTGCAGGTCTGGAAAGTATAGACCCCGTCTGTCTTTCCAGTGCACGCACCCACTTTTATTGAGTACCTGGGAAGTATAGACCCCGTCTGTCTTCCCTGTGTGCACATCACAACCACTTGTGCCAAGGGATAGTACAGACACCGTCTGTCTTCCCTGTGTGATTATACAAACTAGGACACCCTGAAAAATCATCTTTTGACCAAGTGTGAGCCCCGCTCGCCTTGGTTAAAATTTGATTTTTGTTTGATTATTTAGTAAAGCCCAGTGCGGAGCACTTCATCTCCTGTGAGGTGGTTGAGCAGCTTCTTTAAATAAGTGACCATCTGGGTACTCGCTGGGAGAAAACCTCACCAGTGACCTGTGTGCTCTTAAGCTACACTAAAAATATGGAAGCACTGCAGCTTAGCCAATCCTCCACAAGCAGGAGCGTTAATGCTCTCCGTAACCAGGCCACTGTGTTAATCCAGCACAGGATCAGCAGACCCAACATTGGAGGGCCACTTGATCAGGTTTTGCTGCACAGCCAACTGCAAGTTGATCAGAACATTCGCTCAGAGGTCTTGAACCATCAGGGATCCCTGTATGATCCACCTGTCCCAAATTGCAGGGGCACAAGCTGTGGAAACCATCATCCCCATGGACCCACTAGTTTCGAGCTCCTTAACCCAACATGGAGGGGTGTCGACTTGTCGATCTTGGTTGTATGATCAAGTCAATCTTGACAGTGACTGTATCATCATCACTGTCGTTAGAATCCGACTTGCTGACCACTACCATTGGGCCCCTGTTGTGTGGGAACTACAAGGTGGTTACCTAAATGCATCCTCTTGTGACCAGTCGCAGGACACTTCACAACATATCCAGGCGGTGACTGATGTTCTGACTGCTGCTAGCGGACTCCAGCCAGGGTACAGAGAGCACCGCACTAGACAGGTCTCGGAACCTGCATTTCAGGGAGCTTGTGGTGCCAAAGCGATTGCTTGGTTGTGGCTTGCAATTGGTCCGACTGACAGGTATCGTGTTATGAGGCATGATTCTTTCAGAAGGCAATTTGCTTTTTGCCTTCAATCAAATCCTGTTGTACGCCAATTGCATTACCTTGCAGGCGGCAAGGGCAATCCAGACATACCAGTGATCAAGTCGTGCCTAAAGAAAAACAAGTCTGATGCAGATGACAGGGATCTTGCGGCCTCGGCTCTTGACACAGTGGGCAGGACACAGACTGACTCCACTACATCCAAAACTCCAAATCGCCATAAGAAAAGATGTGTGGCAGGTGGCAAGAGTCGCCTACCAGGAAGACCTGCTACTAGTTCACATTTTTCTCGTGAGAGAATCAAGTCGTTTTTCTCACCTTCCAAATCCCGAATCAATTCTGGAAAGGCCCGCAATAGCTCCAGGAAGCATGGAGGTAGTGCTCCCAGCACTCCACCTGTTTCCTCAGGAGTTGCCATCCCTGTGCCTGATAGTGATGATGAGTTGTTGGATTCTGTCCCGAGTGATGGGCTTAACCATAAAACTACCTACTATGGTGAAGCCTTCAAGACCTTTAAGAGACATGAGAATGCCACAGCTAATACCTACAATGTCGCGTCCTGCCGAGCCCGCAGACCGCCTTGTTTTGAGTTGCTCTGGCACCGTCTCACCACATGGAGCCTCACAGGTCCTGCCTACAGCTCCTATTGAACCAAGTCCCATAAAGGCTCAATCGAAGACACAATCCAACCCTCGGCCTGAGGCTCACTCACTTGATCCTATAATCAATGGACTGATGACACCAAGGAAGATGCCTTTCGAGAAGCACTTATTTCTGTTTCTTCACATGCTAAGGTGCTGCGAGTTGACCAGGTATTTTTTTGCAGCCACGCCTAGTGCCATCAGAGACACATTGCCAGATAACTTTTGGGTGCTCACCACACATGCTCAGGATGTAAATTTTGCTATCAAGTACCGACAACAGCATCCGTGCTGTCTGGCTATTGTACTTGGTAAACATTTTGGGCCCCTCATCAAGCTGGTTAACGCGCGCATCCCTACCGTATGTTTACAACATTTCAGTAACCATGCTGCTGTGCCAGTCCTGGCAAGAGGCATTTGCGAATACTACCCCCACCTCACCAAGCGCATCAGAATCGCCTGTCACGTGGGCCGTGTACAAGTCGGTCAAAAAACACATCATACCGTTGCTTTCGGACTCCAACAGTCCGGTAATGAGCGCATCCGAGTTGGTAACCTTGCTCGTGATTGGAATATAATCACGGCTATACCTAACTCCCTTAATACAGCATCGCTTGACCTTTGCCAGCCGGTATGCAACGGATTTGAAGCCGACACGACCAATCCTTTCAGTCTACAAGTGAAAGGAGATAGGCGCAGTACTGATGTAATCAGCTATCTCAGCAATGATAGTCTGGCATGCAATATTGACATTGTTGGATGGGTTGATCAGCTTGTCGATGCTCTATCGAACACCACTGGGGCTTGTGCGATCAGCCTTCATCAAGCATACATTGGCACTGATCACGGTGAGCTTCGGCAAGACTTAGTCGTATTTGTTGCTCAGAAACATAACGATCAATTGCCTAGCGTCAATGAGTTCCTGCAAGAGCAAGGTCTCCCCGTTGCTCCTTTCTATGGCTACCTCATTGCACAAATTTCGTCAGAATCATTTGAGTCCTTGAGGCTATTAGACGGGGTGTGTCGCCTAGTCTTTGCTGGAAGCTTTGTGCAGCTTAACCGCCCAGGAGTCACGGTCGATGCTACCCTTCAGTTCTCTTACCAAGCACCCACTCCATCATACCTTTACACCACATGTACTACGCTTGAGTGGCTCAGTAATTACGCAAGTGGCCATCGATATCGTGTAGTCACGGTGCAGGACGCCTCCTCACAACACCATTATACGGCACTGTGGTTTGATGTCTCACGTGCGCAAGCGGAGGACCTACTGGCCAAGGGACCCCATCATGTTGAAATCGGTGGATCACCTGGAACCATACGATGGCCCCAGTCGCCCAGTGATCTTGGAAAAAGGAAGAACAAGCGAAGCACGCTTGAAACTCCAACTAAGCACTGGGAACGATTTAGACCAACCGATGGTGCTATCTCCGGCTCTCGTGTGCCAGTCGTTATTGTTCCTGATTCAGCCAATACCAATCAGTTCCAGCGACAGTGCCTAAACGCATGTTGTGTCTCTCTACGAAGTGTTTCCAATGGTTCTGTGCAGGCAATACTTTTTGAAACTCCTCTCCCCATGCTTGCGCTGCCCAAATGTCCAAGTGATGTTGAGGGAGAGGCTTTCGCACAGCTACACATCCCTTATGACGCTGCACTTGCTTGGTCTCGATGTGCCCTCTACTCTGACCACGGCATTCGCCCTGACCAGCAAATAATGTGCCGCATCAATGTTGAGGGCTCGGTGCGCGTACCTCTCTTCCATGACAACTCCACTGTTCACATTGGTTGGCACCAAGGTGGCTGGTTCTATGTATGCGGCAGCCTATCAAGAGTTCAAGATTTGCTGCCTGCCAATGTCCATCAAGAAATCGACATAACCTGCCTTGGACCTGGGCACACTTCTGGCGAAGAGGGAAATGCTGCAGAGGTTTTGCCTAACTCCCTTCTCATAAACGAAGCAATTGAACCTGCTGCCCCTGAGCCAATCGATCCTGCTGTCAACACTGACAGACAGCTTGACCTTAGGATCCTCTACGTTGCGCTTCGGGTCCTTTGTTTCGGTGCATGGCGAATGACAGATAGTAGCGATCATCCTAGGCAGATTCTTTTAGA